ATATATATGACATCAATTTCTTTCATTTGTATAGCAGTGGGCAACAGAGAGTCTTTGTACGAATGCATATCTGTGGGCTGAAATTACTGAGCTTGTTGAAAATTTTACTTACAAAAGGTACGTTCCTGTAGGTCATCGTATTTTACGCTATAAATATTGTAGATTGTTCCTGACGACCGCATTAAAAATACAAAACAACTGTTGAACGATATTCTCAGATTTAAAGCTTTTAACAAGCCTAAAAGTGTTTCAGGCGAGTTCTAACCTCAAATTTCTAAGTAAATGAATATTCGTGCTCAAAACAGGACATGACCATGCCCATTTTAAAGGGCACACATTTGCGGGTTCGACTAGATAGGCAGGAGTAAAAATGCGTGAGTGAAAGTAAGCAAACAATTTACTCAAATGTTTTTATTAAGTTGTCTACTATATGTACATGGTCATTTCTGGCGGTAGAACATTGGTTACCCTTAAGCAGTTAGTACAATACCAAAAGCTCTCTAAAATTTAAACATAGAAAATACTATATACATATATTACATATGAGTAAGGGTTTATGAAATTATTTTTGTTAATTAAAGCTGTAAACATCGCGCTATTACACTTTATACAAAAAGAAATTTGATCAAGACAAATGTTATAAAGCATTATTTCGTAATGCTTTAATTACATTAATTCCTATAAAGATATCGAAATTTAACATAATACATTTAGGAATTACTATTGTAGGACCTCTAAGATTATTGTGCTAAATAAAAGTGTCCGCTTCCATGTCGAACCCGAGACCATTCAAACTTTGTAGAAAATCCCAAAAACCACCCCAATTTTCCAGTTCTACATTTGGCCCGCCATAGCCTGTGCTGCATTCTAAGACTAGAGCGCTATATTTCGTCACGACTCTTCCGCTCACCTGTTGCAACTGGCATGTTTACGGTAATGCTGCAGCTCTTGACATCCATGTTGGTTATATATAACCCTTTGCACACTGGATATCCTCACTTCTGTGTATGAATCTAACCGATACAGATTCTACTAGGACACGATAGCAAAAAAGTGATTCCGATCGGCGACTCATTATTTGCATTGTAGTAGAAGGTGAACTGCTCAAGCCACTCATATATTACTACCGATATAAATTTCTATTCCCTCAGTGTTAGACAGAAGGAATAGTTTATCTCAAAATGATTAATACTGAAAAAACAATTCACACAGGCTGTGTACTATTTGTCGCTGATCGGACTTCCAGCAATAATCCCTAGTCCCTTCCGACCAGGGACTTGGCCGTTTAAGCCAAAGATCATTGTTACCCAAGTTCAAGTACATCAGATAAAAAAAAAATGTCGTTCATAAACACAGAATTTATTCACCACTCGCGCGTGGTGCCCGGTGAACGTGTTCGACGGAATCGCAAATAAGTTCACAGGGACAGACAAACACATTTTGAGTATGGTCTGAAAATGTCAACAAAGATGCATCTTCATCCTATACAACGCAATGATTTGCCAAAAAGCGCTTTACACTGCAAACGATGGTAATCGATGAAAAAGAATTTTAGAAACCTATTTTCTTTTATTTGACTGGAAGGTCCCACATGTTCATGTAAATTCTAGTTAGGTTCAACAGTATTAGTCGGAGAATAGATCAGAGGAATTTTCATCATCCACGCCATCGTTCTGGGTTGCAATACGCATCTTTGTTGCTTCATTTGTTCTTGAATGCCTTTGTGTAATATAAACGTCATCATCATTATCGACCTCACTCTCATTACTTGTCTTGGATGTTATGGACCCACTTGCTGATGAAGCTGCCGAGACGGGATATTTCGCGGGTGAATCTTCGATGACAATCTGCAAGATCATCTCAACTACTGTCAGTAACATTTCAATCTAAGATTTTTTGCAGTTAGATGCACACTCTGGTTGTACAAGACATCGAGATAATACATTATAGCTAGAGAATGTCTAATTGGTAACGTGCTAGTAACTCGATGCTTGTAAACGTACGAGTCATTATGATATCCCGAAAAGAGTATTCGCATCGAATATATTTTATGCTGCTCTATATTTTGATATGCTATAATCTGATAACAACATTTTTTTGATCTTATGTGATCGTTACTTAAATATTCATAAGTGATAATAAAACTAATTTCAGTTATTTATAGTGTACATACTATTGCGAGCTTCACCTTGTAACTCACTAAACCACTGTCTGCATTAGAAAATCATTGTGATTTCATTAAATTACCACCAGGGTAACACATATTTTTAATTGAACTGTGGCAGAATATGAGTGTCGGAGCTCTACTGGAGAAGACAGCGAAGCTGTACGCCGTTGCAGAGAAACCTGGAGCCCTCTAGAAATACATGTACGAAGGAGTAGTGTCAAAAGAAAGGCATGAAGTCCTTAACATACCGCGCACAAAAAACCCGATTACTGGCGAGAGACCTGGCTAAGAAGATACCCATTGTAGTTAAGGTATGCCCAGTACTCTAACAAATAGGGGGGTCTAGCCATGGAAGAATTACAACGTAAATTCGGCCGCGATTATCTGAGTGCCAGAAGAAACAGGAGAATGAAAATGGGAAGCCAAAGGAGGCAAAAACCAGTTTAGGCACGGATAACGATTACAGCAGAATTGACGGGGATGTCCGGGTTTCAGCGAGGATAATGTACAAAGCAAAGAACCTAGCTTGGACGAAAAACAAGAGCAATGCAAAGTGAAAAGGCGAATAATCGAAAAAGTATCCAGAAAGAGTTTCCACTTAGGCAAACCATGGTACAAGCGTAAGTACTAAAGTAGCGTACTGAAACTATTCCTGGGCACCGCATGAAGCATAAGGACTCGACTGAAAGTATAGCTTTTACCATAACAAGGCGACTATTGCAAGCTGTAAAAAGCGGTCTCTGGGTGACCTTTTTTCTCGTTAGCTCTCAAGAAAAAAGATAACTTTAATTACTTGAAGTGAATTCAACATACGCGAAGGGATACGTCAACGTAAAGCACAACTATATAAGTTCTAAGGAACGGTGATAACCGATTAGTCACTGTTCAAAATGTTCCATGATTTTCCAAGTTGCAGTTATCGATTCCTTCGCTTGGTAGCCAGTATAAGCGATGTAGCTTCTGATTTCGTAAAAATAATGCTTCTTCCCTCCTAGCAATAGCCGTAGTTAGCAATAGGTATTGTCTACGGTGAGAAAAGCTTTGATCTGCAGGAACAGAACAGTTTCCCTAATACCGACTTCATAGTAGAAGAGAGTTGCCGTAAAGAGAGCCATCGGTTACTTGTTATCTTATAATATTTAATACCTTTGATTGCAAGGCCAGCAAACAGGTATGAGATGTGCTCAAATATTATTTAGCAAAACATTATTTTACGTCTCTCAAAATTCCCTCACGATTTCAAACAAAGCACTCGCAGCAACTGTAACTTCAAATAGATTCTGCTAGTTACGAACAACGATTGTTCAAGAAAACGAGCCGGCTTATCGTGTCCGTATTCGATATTGGTAAGGCCATAAATCAGGCAAACAAAATTAACAAACCTGCCATACAATTAACTTAAAATGAACTTTCCTCAATATGTAAATGACATGCGTTACGTATGCTTATAAAATCAATCCTTCCTGCTTATCCTTAACACATATCCTAGTACATATATTACTTCGAACTGTACACTCAGTAAGCGGGAGAAAAAATAGTATCCATGAAGAAACCTTACCGAAGTGATACTCAATCGTGGCATTTTTGAGTCATTCAACCGAGCAACTTCGAAGGGCCCACTTCTAATCTGGGAGTTGATTTCTAGCATTTCGAAATCTCGATTGGAGCACGCCGATGTTTCGCCAACAGCGCGGCGATCTGTAGCCGAGCTCTCGCACGAACGCCTTTTTCTTTTCAATTGAAAAATCGGAACTGAAATTGAACCATAACCACAAGTGAGTTAGATAGATTGACAACATGGCTTTTTGATTCTAGTGGCATTAGCAGCATTTTTTCGACTGCCAAAAGAACTCTACCCGTAACAACGTACTGTGTGTCAATTCGATCAAAATCTACGAAAATCACTTGGTATAACTCGGTACGTACGCACGAGCATTTCAGGTGGATACGTACATATCTATGCTGCACACATTTATTTGATAAAATCTGCATTAATGTGCTTTGTAGGTGTGAAAGCCTGGTAAATTAAAAACTCGACAGGCACAATGGATTTCATATATTCTGCTATAAATATGTACTTCTTCATATGATAAACATCGTGGAAATTATAGGTATATAACAATATTGGATAACGCCTACATATAATATTGGTTACACAACGAAAGTTACAAACTATATCACTAACGAACATTGCGTCCAAAAATAAATTCTACAGCTTTAAACATTTCAATTTTCATCGTACGAAAGGTGATGGAGCACATTTTAACAACAAAATCAATGTACTTACACATTTTATACGTTTGCTTAGGAGGCGTTTCGCTGCCGCTTGAGCTGCTATTCAAGTCAGATAAACAAACATTCTTCGACCTACTTAATCCTAATCCGCTTTGCAGCTTCGTTAGTTCCCGTTCTGTGCAACTGCTCTCTAAATTCCTTGAATGACTCGTGTCGCCCATTTCATTTTCTACCCTACGTTCTAGAACGAATTCGCCGAGACGATTGTCCAAGGCATTGAAATCATTCACCTCTACAATACGATCTCGAACCCAACGACAGAGCATATCTGTAAGGTAAATTATACAAAACCAGGTTGTGCCTTTTGATTCTTTATATCGCGTGACCTCTTGTTCATTAAAGCCACCACCTAGAAATCATGCTTATGGAAACGCAATTATTGCATTACAGGTCGTAACCGGATAATGAAAATAAAAATCGGAAGGTATAAACGACTTTAAGGATATATTCGCTTACGTAAGCTTTTGACTCTTAGTGGCCACTATTATATTAATCGCAAAGCTGTCGTCTCGACGCAATAGCTTCTTCTGACATGCTGTTTAGCACAGGCGCACGTTACAAGCCATCATCATCAATGACTACTCAGAACAGTTTTTTTTATATTTTTGGACGTGGAAATGAGTTGTCACTGAAATAATAGAAAAACTAAGACTACCCTAAAGAGTTGATCGAAGACGTTTCTGATTGTCAAAATATGTATATACATTTTAGATAATGAGGTTACAACCATCAATATTAAAGTAAATCAATGGATAACAAAAAATCTAAGTATATGCCAATATGGCATGAAATACCTTTATATCGCGCATTGTATGAAACGCGGCTATCCAGTAGAATAATTGCGCCCCAGTCGTTCGAATGCCGGATGCACCGGCCCAACGCTTGATTAAGGGCACGAAATGCTTGAGCGCTATACCAATCCTGCCCCGTCATGACATCTTCGCCCTGCCGGTGACGACGATCGTTAAACGCCATCTTATCCTCTACAGCAAACATTTAAACAAATCATGTTGTTAATAAGAAAATGCCATGTGTGAAAATGATTAAACTCTGAATGCAAATTTTTTCCTAGGTATTACTAAAAATTCATAAAAACGTATATTTCCACAAACATAGATATGGCACTAACAAAAATTTAAGGTTTAGTTCGCTTCTCTATAGTAATTCTCCGATATGCTAATAACGTAAACAGGCCAAAAGCAGTCAATATGCTTGCTACATTTGTTAATCCAAATTTATTGTCTATCGAATAAAACAATGGATGTTAAACATCAATAAATATTCACCGCTCCATTGATCAGTCTACAGTTATATTTTCATCAAATAGACTGAAATTGGAAGTAAAGTAACTCTGGAACTTACTAATGGTAATATCTTTAATGTTTGGAAACGGCAGACCAATAATCACAACAGCTCGTGCAAATTTATCAGGAAAATCCTCACCTTCGCTAACACCGCCCCTGAAATATAGTCATAGCCAGTCGATAAAAGCTAAGCAGGTTAGGGGGCATATTAAATATTTGACAATAATACAAATGTTCCGGCCATATACATTCGTACTAGAAAATCTAATCCTGCTTCGGTGGTCGGCTCTCACGCTGAACACCCGACAGTTCAGTGTAATATCTACTACGTGCTATATTTTAGAAAAACAAACTTACTACGATCCACAGCTGCCGCTATGCAACCCAAGTCGTTCAATAGCAATCGAAATAGAAGGAAGAAAGTCTTTTTGGGAATCTAAGTAAAGACTATTCATTACAACACCTATTTATTTGTCACCCTCCCTGCCAGCTAAAGCGAGAACCAGTCAATCATTACTTTCAATATACAATCATCATGAGTGAAGTGCTTCTTAATAGGTACCGAACTTAGAAACATTTGGATATGAGCAATCCACTACCAATGTTCTTATTATTTTCGCAATGCACGGTTGGAAATCAGACATCGTCGAAGGCTAAGCACCTGTGTGATCTTTACGTTATCTTCAAGAAAATACAAAACTTTCCCCGCTAAGGAAAGAAACTAATGCCGATTACGGCTGCCTACTTAAAGCAAGTAAAAAATGCTTCCGATCTTACCTGCAAACGGCCATGAGCAAAGCGCCTTGCGGGGTGAGCGATTCCTCATAATATTCTCGCATCATTTCAGGCAGTTTAGACTGACCCTCAACGAATACTCGCTTTAGCTGCTCCATCTTGGACCATGTGCCTGAAGAAAGAGTTTACGCCAAGACAAATACGAGGTATAAACGTAGCCATAGACGGATCTAATCACAAGGAATTCAAATTTCGTTTTAAGAATGTGACATTAACACCAAGAGCAATCAATAATTAATTGTTTACCTGTGATTTGCCACCGCTCGCACATTCTTTTCATTGTACTGTATGAGGGAAAAAAACACAGTACTCCATTCGGTATTCTTGAACAAATTTGCACCAGAGCTCGTCCTAGGTCGTCTTGCAAAGTGAAGCCCATGCTATTTTTGTAGTCACACTTTAGCTCCACCCTAAATGGAAGAGTGAAATACAAATACAAAGTGATACGCGGCCGGTCAAAAAAAGACAAAAGATATTGACTTGAGGTTGTTTGGACAAAAATTGCTTTATATCTATATATAACCAGTTATATATAACCAGGACTATAACCAGTTATAAAATGGACAAATCAAGCTCACACATTAATGCTAATTATATTGATAACGACCAAATGAAACGTTAAGCTCGTCTTTTTCGCCATTGCACCATCTTAGTCAAGACCAATTAGTACGGCAATATCATGATCAACACAGATTTTTAAATTGTGTCTACAATTCTGATACAGTTTCTACCATAAGTTAACTCCTGTTCATATAAAATTATGCACCATCAGAAATTCTAAAGCTTTTGTCCGCTTTTATACCAAAATGGCAAGTGACACAATTCTAGTATCATTTGGCATACCTTTCCGGCCCTCGGGTGGAGACACATGCAAATATTTGGCCCTCAGCAACAACGTGATTTAACGAAATACTTATTGGGAATGGCACATCAAGTTCACATTGAATCGACTTCATAGGGCTTAGGGTTCCAGACGCAATCACGAGCGAGTGCAGCGTGTCTTTGATGTCTACCAAACCTACAGCCGAATTAAGGCAGTAGATGTTCAAGGTCACCTGGTAGTAAATGTTAATTGAAAAAACTAATGTTATAATGACAATTATCGTCACTTTTTTACCCGGTAAGAAATATCTTGGTTCAAATATTTATATATATATATATATATATATATATAATTTGTTTCCTTTGTCTACTGCCCATCTGCACCTTTGTCATAAGGGTCGCTATGCGAAGCTCTTTAGGATCATCGTTCTGTACTGATTTTTGACGCATACTAACCGGTAGCTTTCGAATACGCAATAACATTACTATAAAGAGTATTACACTATTTTCCAAATTATGAACATGAATCACCTCAGGCTGAAGATCGCTGAAATCTAGCAATGTTACACAGAAAATTGTATTGTTATAAAGCAAGGCCAGTTTGTGTAGATATCGACTCACCTCAGGCTTGCCACTCAGTTCTTTATGTTTGTCTTTGGGGATTTTTTTTAAAACAGCCGCTCGAAAACATGACGTGTACTTCATATCCATCTTGTAAAGATGCTCAAGCGTATTTGCGAGAGCTCCAAAAACGCTTTTACATCTTGCGTCAAGATCTTGTATTCCCTCCGAAGTCTTACCACTATCAGTGGCTGGAGACGAGATATCGTCATCCGCGTTCAAAAGTTCTTCAACGATTTTTTTGGTCCGTGACCACGTCATCGGACCAACTTGGGCAATCTCGAGCGTTCTAAAACATAGATTAAACATTGATCGAATATATATTGTGTAGGCAATATGCGACAGAAATACACTAGTTCAATGTCTCCAACGACTAGCTTCAAAGCAATCATTAGACTTGCATTATATTTTCAAAGAACTAGACTTCACTAACGACAAATGCTACGTGTGACGTCTTTTACGTACCAAAAGTGAGATACAACTCAACAGAGCGCATGAGGTGCATTATCTTTGAAATAATAAAAGTTCCTAAAACATTTGCATGGCATGACTAAACGCCTTACTACTTCAGAACGCTAACGCAACTACTACAAAATTAGGCACATTCTAAGCGATTTCTATAAGCACATACCCGCACAGCTTTTCATGATCGAATACTTGAGGTTTTGTTAACGTGGCCGCTGCGCTTTCGTTAAGCAAAACATGTTTAAGCGCCCCCACAGTAGGAAGTACTTGTGCCATGGCACGTGACTCTTTACCGTTCCTCAGTGCCGTTTCTATGAACTCTTCTATATATAAAACATCTGAGAGGTTAAGTTCCAACTCCATTGAGTCTCTGCAAATAGCGTATCACAGATCGAAACAAATATTTGAATCTAAAGAAAAGTAAAATACTGCGGCGCTAATACTCTATTAGTCAATTTGCTAAGTGGTTCAATTACCTGATCATTTTAGGATCTTCTGCACCTCAAATAATTTGTTTACCGTGCAGGTATTTTACCCGAAGTCGGTACCCACTTTGAAACAAGCATTTTTGTCTATTATAGATATACTGATTTTAAATTTCAACCCGCACACGAAAATGTATATCACATTATTGACTCTTAAAAAGATGCAAAATATTCACACACCTACAAATGTCTTCTATATTGTGAGCCTCATCGAGGATAACGATGTTCCCACTTAGATTGATCTGCACAGCCTTTCGCACTGTGGGGTCAAGAATGTAATTGTACGGGCAAAAAGTGATGTCTGCCGTCTCTGCCAGTTGAACAGACCAGTAATATGGACAGAGAGTACGCTCTTGGCCTACTCCCTTTAGATCCTCAATATCCCATGGGTCGCCAAGGCCCTGACCGAACAGCGTTGGGTATACGGAGCGTGGAACCTTCTGAAGTCTAAAAAATTAAGTCACACAGATGCAAAACGAAGGAAAAATCAGACAAAGAGTTGTAATAATTTCAAAACATTTTATAAAGAGTGCAGTAAACACATATCAAGTTAAATATCTTGTAATAACTTTGAACTATGTTTATTTGAAATGACATGTATTAATGAGACTCCAAAATCCAAATCAGTACACAATTTTTGTGTTTTATAAGCGTCAAAATGAATGCTCTTAAAATATTATACTGCTCCAAAGCATGACGCCACTTCACATCAGTAACCACCGTCAATAGTTACATTCAAATGCTCCAATACATTATATCGATTTCTAGCCAATGGTAATACTTACTGATCAAAGAAAATATAAATACCTACTGATATCTGTTGTTTCACAGGCATTATCTTTGTCAAACCAGATTCATGACCAGTTTTGACTTGCGCTCATTGGTATACGAATGTCTAAACGTATAAAAGTCAATGAGATTGACTTAACGCAGCTGCGTACCAGACCATGTTGGAAGTTGGATTTTATCCTATTGCTACATACGTGAACCGTAACAATCAGTCGGATTTCTCGCCTTTTCCCCACCGAAATATCCATTTTAGATATAAAGAAATCTAGCATTTTTTATTCAACTCATCGAAACCTATCGATTAATAACAAAAAGTATCCCTTCTACAGAGAATATCATGTCAAGATTTCATCTTCTGATCGGCATTTTCGATATGAAAGCTTTAATTTAGGTATAAGAACATTCACAATGCATAAATTCAATTCATCAAGAGCCTTCGATTGGTACCAAGAAATAGTTCTTTCACATGGATTTCTATGCAAAAGATTTCTCTCGTCGCACAGACGAATAAGCTGCCACACTCGCGTTAGGAGGATAAAATGCATTTTCACTTAATTTCTCGAAATTTGTTCATTAGTGTTAAGAATCCTTGTTGACAAAATAGCAAATTGCACAGAATTATATATGTTTGTTATTGTAGTGCTAGTTTCAGGAAATTTTTTAAAGAATATTTTCAAAAAAATGACACTCATCAAAAATTCGCTTAAAAAAACGTTCAAAAGTTGCTCAAAACGCATTTTCACTGTAATTTAAGCAAGCGAAATTAAGCCCTCAATATACCTTTGACCATTCTCACACTAAAACACATATAAGGAAACAGATTGCATTTTTATTCAACTTGTCGAAATCTATCAATCGAAAGTCAAGAAATTTACCCTCACATTGAACACTATGTTAAATTTTTGCACTTCGGGGCATGCATTTTCAAATTAATAATTGAAATTTGGATAGAGGCACACGTGTATTATTTTGATTTAGCTGAGCGAGACTAATGCCAAGAAAGACTTTCCCGCTCCTATAGACCTCCACGTAACCGTTTAGTAATTATCTAATCAGTAAAAGGATCTTTACGACAAAAATTCCACCCAGATGTAGACTATCTCAGCCCACATAACTTCCTCACAGGCATATATAAGGGACTGTAAAAAAATACCTAAAAGGGGCACAAATGAACAAGTTACTTAAATAATTATTACAATTTACAGGATGCAAAAAAAGCATTCATTCAATCAGTTTAATTTTACGCACAGCTTTAATGACCCGCAAAAAGATCAGCTAAGTCCAAGCACTTTAAAGGATAGATTTGGATCAGATAGGCACATAAAGAGACAGCCACAAAGTGTACAAAGAGCGCCAACCGGACTACGGCCCGTGCGCCTGTATATGTATATATATATGGTAACATCGAACAGCACCCTGCCGACTATATAACCGAATACCTTCTTCCATAATATAGTTCAACGTGATTGTTGATGCAACACACATCGAGCATATTTATCTTTGCAAATTAAGATGAAAGTACTCATGCACGCACCATAATTTTTAGCGAAATATACAGACGTATATATCTGCGCGGATTATGTCGGCGGCTGGCCTAGTATTTGTAAGTGGTGGTACAGTGTTGTTTTCAAATGAAGAAAAGTTACTTGCTATGTGTTTTCTCCTAAAGGACAACCAAACAAACATTGCACGTCACACGAAAAGACCCTACGGGAATTCGAGTTGGACCGATTTACTTGAGTAAATAGTAGATGTATAGCCTATTTCACTATTAAAGATATATATATAATAGGAATAACGGATAGTTATTAGGCTGTAATATTGCTAGATACCAAACTTTAGTTTTTCACAGAACAACGTTGAACCATTTAAAGTCATCCCTTGAGGACTCCTCAACGGAAGGCAGGTTTCGTCTTATGATCTGAAGTAAGAAATATTGTATACGGAAAACGTTGAGAGAATTGTTGGTTTAGTGAGTCTTTGATCTTTTACGCAAGAGTGGCCATATTCTGGAAGCACCATATCCGTAACCAGGTGCCAAAGTAAAAGCGATGCGGTAAAGCGTAGCAGGTGTCCTGCGAGTCAGTTTCGAAAACAGTAAAGGAAACACAACAACATTTTAGTCAGAAATTTGCAACGGTAATTTATCAATGAAGAAACACAGTTGTGCGGGCAGTTGAAGCATGCGTTACCAACTGCCGGGGTGATGCACGTAGATGAAAGTTGTCACTTTTTCTTGGGCATCATGTAACTGCATGTTGGCAAGGCCAGGTGTCCGACGTACATATATATAGAATCACAAAAAGCTGTAAATCACATCGTTTCTTGTGGTGGTCTTGTCCCTAACAGATATTTGCGAACTCGTAAATAAGGCTAAGAACAACGTAGAGCTCGCCATGTTTTGATTAAAGGGTTTTCTCTTTGAAACAAATTAAATTTTTCTATATAATTTGGCTTTATTCCTTGTGGTGCAAAGTTGTATCAGAAATTGGCGGCGGCTAAGCAGTACATCAGCGTATTCTAGAAAAGATGAGAATGACTTGTCGAAGCAGCGTTATCTCGTGTCTGAATTTTCCCGTAAATATTTTTGGATGCAGTGGGATTCGAGCACTAATTATGTACGACCATCCTGACCCGGTTACTTAGAGTCAGTTTTTCTCATGACGACGAGCATTCTAGGAAAAAGATTTGAAGAAATGATATGGCTCGTCATGTGCTGACGTTATTGGATAAATCTCATCCTGAAGGGCCATCTCTATAATTATGGAACTCTTGTATGTATCCTCGGAAAGATCCAGCTACCCTATCTACGGCAAACGATGTCATCTGAAAAAACGCGTTGTCTTTAAGTAGCACGAAATTGATTCGGTTACCGCGTACAAACAAATTAATACCATTAAATCTTACATGATTTTGTAATGTACCTTCTGAAGATGGGACTTTACGCTGACGGCACAACTTGCTTGTCGAACCGACAGTTATAGGCGAAAAATCGTTTCGGCTCCTATTTCGTTGGACGGCCAGTTGAACAGAGATTAAGCAAGCGTCATACGGGTCTTAGTCGGTTGTGCATCTGGATGAGCTAACAGTTATTTGTCCACCTTGTGCCTTACCTTTGAGTCCATGGTTCTATTATCGCGATCAGGTAGTGCTCGGCGGTTATCGTCAGACGTGTCAGAAGTCGGTGTGTTTCGTGAAATGTGAAGGCGGTCTCAGTCAATAAAACTTGGGTCAGTGCTTGATTTCTGTTGTGGGGTGAAAATTGGAGGAGGACGAATTGGCTGAGGTAGTCCGAACGTTAATCATTGGGTGATTGCGATAGAGCCGATGCTCAGAAGGTGCCCAGACAAGCAATAAGGGAGGTTTGGACATTTATTATGCAACTCCCCATGCCTTCCTTGCAGCCCGGTAATACGGGTGACGACGGCGTCTTTCAAGAAGCGGCGTCTCGGCGTTATGACAAAAGCGGATAGACATTCCAAGCGTTGCGACTCGCTTGCAAGTATCCTCGGCACTGATCTGCCGGATTTAGTTGGAGCGGCGCGTCATTTGTCAGAATCCAAGGGACTGGTCCAGTCGATGCTAACTTCTGCGCTGTTTAGCCAAAGAAAATTATGCCGACCGTAAAAAAAAAACAGTACAATTCGTCCATGCTAAGGGCCTGGTTTCGGCCAGACAAAACTCGTTAGCGAGAATTTTTAGTAGCTAGAAAATTAAAATAGGGAATAGAAAAATAATATACGAGCACCACCTGAAGGTTTCCAACGGCGTCTGTTTTAAACACACGCAGACGATGCTGATGGCCGCTCTGATGTTGCTAAACGCTCGTGCATTACTGTTTTCAAACGTCATGGCAAAAATAGAGGACTTTGTATTATTGCATTTTTTGCCCTATGTCGTAATATCTGTCGTCTTCTTGATTCGATAAGTAGAAACTTACTGTGAGTAAAAGATACACCCTTGATCCTGGCGGGCAAGCTTCATAAGAGCTCGGCATTCCTCGTTAACGCTGACTTCACCAGATTCTCCATGGCCCCTTCGGAGTATTTTCTTATTGATACACATTCGGTCTCGACTGCCCAATATTGTCATGCGCATTTTTCCGTAGTCTGTCCGGTTAAATTCGGCCACCACTTGACTCACCTGCCGATGCGTTCGAGTACCTGGTGCAGCGATAACTTATGTTAATTCGAACTAGGAAACTTCTTACGTACTTACAAAGCATATGCTATAAATGGGCAATTAGCTAACTATTATGGCAAAGGCGGTTAATGTGTCTCATTCTACTCATCAACGGTAGAAGGAAATAAACGAGTTTAAGTAATTTAGTATTACTAATACTAATAATTTTGTATTAAGAATATCTAAATAATTTTAGATAAATACATTAAACTAAACGTAAATGTCGTCTATGCAACACAGTAAAGAGAGCACAAGTGTATATAATATGCCTAACCTTACCATAAAATATTTTCGGCACTTTAGGAAGCTGATCCGCATTTCTCTTATCCTCGATTGCTAAACCCTTCAGCTTGGCTTTCAGGACACCAGTGACTTTTGAAGAGTCATTGAGAAGCGATTTTCTGCTTGATGGCGCATGAATTTTCACTATTCCACGTACCTCATCTTGTTTCTCTAAATCTTCGTACATGTCCAACACAGTTCCCTTTATGTTTATAGAATCGATAGCGGGATAAAGATTTTTCAATTAAAACGAAGTAGGCATTGTTTCGATGTTTGACTGGGGTGTTTTCAGATATTTAAGTTTTATATGTCCACTGTCCATACATGAATACGAAAAAGCAAAATAGTCCGCTCCGCTTCAGAGTCGAGGAAATCTACCCTTCTTATATGAGAAATAGATAAAGGTTGTATTAATTCTTCTAGGCTAAAATAGATCCGAGTCGCCTTTTTAGATTGAGGTTGGCAATAGTGCATTCGTTGTTCCAGTAGCAAAATACATTTTGACTGACTTGACTTAAAGCATGTGTTTGCTTTCTTTTTAATCAACCTTTGAGGCGCTTGTGTTGCGGGCTTCCCGGAGATAATTTAATTAGAGAATAATATTGCAATTTCCATTGTTGATAAACTGTTCTGCCTGAAAATGATATTTAATAAGTGTCAGCTTTGCTCACCGCTACATCCTCGTTAGAAGTTGGTGTGTATCCCATGTGAAGAGCAGAGTGATCATGCGCAGCTGACGTTAGGCTCGACGACGAACATAGTTTCTTCGCCGCCTCTTCCCGAAGGCGTTTCTGCTCCTCAACAAAACTCAACGCCCCACACAAAAGTGAAAGGGTCTTGCCCGTCCCAGTCGGACATTCGATCAGACAATTTTTATGCTGCTTCAATGCTGTTATTAGCCGACACATGATCACCTACATTTGTATATACAAACCGTTTTATCTCCTATCTTTTTTATATATACATTAATCTATAAAAAGCGCAAAAGTTTGGCTTAGGTATCAAATAGTGATCGTTTATAGTAGTAAAGTAAGTTATTTGACGAACAGTAGTATTTTTTTAGTAACAATAGTATGTTATATTTAACTAAGATTGAAAAAGCAAAAAACGTGTTCCGTTGTACCCGTTGCTGAGGATAAGGGTGCTCGTAGGGGAATCGAACCCTTATACCCGCCAGTGGATGTGTATACTGCTTCATGCTGAAAATCAATGATAATAGCAAGAAAAAATTACTCTTCTTATTTAGCTAACATACCAAAGATATATATATATATATATGGGGGGGGACATTCGCTAACTGTAATATGTCCAAGAAGGTGTTCTTTGAAATCTGCGATCCTTCTGAAAGAGAAATGCTAGTTACCTATCTTGCTTAATTCGTCGAAAAATTCCCTAAACCAAAAGTCACGATTTAATCTTCAGAAATCAAGGTCTTCCTGCCTTGGTACCGAAAATAATAATCTATTAAAACGTGTGACTTGTTTTTTGTGCAATCCGCCATTTAAAATAAATAGAGCTAATCTCCTCTGATTTAAATTAGAACGTGCATAGGGATACGAGGTGACACTAAACTGTGATATCTTGCCGTGTCGAGAGATCATCTATTTATTATTATTATTCCTCTTTTGTACACGAGATTTAGTGCAGTATACGATGTGCAGGTTGATGGGTTCTTTGAATCGAGCGTATAACCCATTTTGCGACACCTTGTCGACTAAAACTGCAATTAAAAAAAGGGAACTGCTATACTATAATACACACATTGGAAACACTCGTTTCAACACTGCTGCCTCTGCCACAAAGTACAGATGTTGTCATTTTGCAACCGTTGAGGAGTAGTTAAACACACTCCTCTGTAACGATTAACAAACACTATAAGATGTATATTCGAATACATACTCGTATTTTCATTTGAGCTGACGCCCTTTCACTGAGCACGGTGATCAATGTTGTCATTTCTGTCCAACAAATAAACGCATGACGGGAGTAATGGCGCCACCAGTGCGCACCGTTTCGCTTCAAGAGCCGCCGCTAATCAGGATAGCTAATATTACATTTAACAATTAATAATAATAAAAATATTCCTTTAATAACAATTATTTTTGAAATCATATTAAAAAAGTGTGTACTTATTAGGGTGCCGTTCTGACACGCGCGGTACGAACGTGACACACAGGAAATGAAACTGTGTGCTAATAACCGATGGGAAATTTCGGAAAAATAAAAATTTAAAAGGTCAAAAAATTTTAGAAAAACAATAAGACGCAAAAAGATTAACTGTCGAAGCCCATACGGGCGACCCAATGTACGGTACATATTCTCATCTCCAAAACAACCGCTAATTTTGGAGTTGAAACTTCAGGGCTATTATAAGTGTCCTTTTGCAACATGTTGACTCTTTGAACGTAAACCCTATAAATGAGTTTAAACTTTGTCTCATGAAAACCTTCCTCAGAATTTTAGGTTTAAAAAAAATATTATTATTTCGATGAGTGTTCAGTGTTTGTGAATTGATTCTCGCTCAAATTCCATTGCCAAAACATTTTTCCACCATGGCTAAAGGCTTGTTTACATCTTCCTCGTATCGAACTCAGTAGTACTGGCCTCGGATACATGCGTTCGTGAAGCAGCATGAGGCCAGCTGAAAATAGTCTCTATTTAGACTTTTAAATGTATATATACATATATGCAGTCTGCTTGGATAGGTTAGGGGGCTGACGACCGACTTGAGTTCTTTCCTAACATTGCGGCTGGCTTAGCAGAGCCTTTCGAAGTTTCAGCCTATTTTCTGTTCCTAACTCTTTTTATATCAGAAAAACAAACCACGACTGATATTTAGTACCTGTCATTAAGATTGCATAACGCTTTGACCAAGAAATCATGGATAAATCAGTGTAACGTAACATCACGCAGTTGGCCACTACTCAGCGTCAATTACGTTCGCCCGATAATCCTTTCGAAGCAAACACGAAAAGCATTTATTATTGTGATCACTTGGACCCACTTATAATCGATAGGAAAGAAGACAAGGCGAGCGCGTATGCTGGACCAATAACATCGTTTGCGTCAAACGAAAGTAACATCAACTGATTAGTTAGAGTAGTAGTTTGCTGCTGTAGATAAGCTGGAGGAGCATGATAACCGGTTAGGGATAATTTGGGTATGATTATCTGAGGTTATGTATGGGGGTGGATGGCAGATAAGCCGAACCTCTCCGAGAGTGCCATTCAAGCTGCTTGTTAATACTAGATGGCTTGAGCGTCGCAATATAATCTGTGCCTGTGTCGGGTAAAAAAGAAACTAGTTAAAAATTATCGTTTGTTTTTAGGAACGTGAAAGAGTGTTGCCGTAAAGACCTCTACTGAGGCTGTTAAAAGCTAATCAAAACAGAACCGGGCTAAAAATCGCTCCTGCAACCAAGTACTTAATTCGTATCGACCTATTATCGAGGACGAGGGAAAACACTTTTGTATCCAGTTTAAAAAAGTTTAGGGCCCTCGACGAGACCCTGATCTCTCAACTTACAGCCCCCAAGCTCAAGGTCGAAAGTATTGATTTCGTTCCCCACCATATCGACATGGCTGTTTTGCAAATCGGGTCTCAAATGCAATTAGTATAAGCCCTGTTTCTGGCTGCTAAATCTCGTTTTTCCATGCTGGCAGTTCCTTTTTCACCACTCGCGTATTCGGTCAATGCAAGCAATTCAAGGACACTTTTATTTCTGTACCGTACAAAAGAGAAGGCCAACAAAAGCCTATACTTTTCTGGCTTTACCAATGACAATCATATTCGATCCCTGAATTTCAAAAGTAACTATTTCACATATCAGTTTTAGGTTCGTTCTAGTAATTTTCATTTATAAAAGTGAAAGATCTAAAAGTGAATTTATCACCTATCGACTTATTGCTGTAACGCCCTCCCTTTCTACGCTCCTCTAGGCTTCCGAATATCCCGATGATAGTTACTTCGTGGTATACACCAGCTTTCTTTTGGTTGCAGGCAATCAAACACCTTGCACTTTGTCTTCTCATGCTTTCGCCAATAACACGAGCATAATAGCCGAAGCGGGCAAATAATCTAATCAACTAGACACGAGCTACTTTTTTTAGACCTACAATTTACACAGGTGCTAGCTTCCTGAATATACCTAAAACATAAGTAACAGTTACTTCTAGAAATCAGAAATTCAACATTCTAATCCTCGATGTGCCAACAATTTTAGAACATATTATTGTACACTTCGGTTCGACCGGTTTTTACCACTGATTTCTCACTGAACACCTGTTTGTTTGGGATGCTGTTTTAAGCTGCTCAGTAAGGAAGCCCCAGATTCTGCAAAATAATGCGGTTGGAGCAGAAAGTGGTATTCCAAGGGCTGCATGAGTTTATAGTCTTCATTTTAAACGTCATCAGCTGCTTAAAAATCACTTCGAAAAAGAGATTCTGAATGGAAGTCACAAATGACCTCTTACAACTTAAGTTCTCTTTCTCTGTTCTTGCTTCTATCCTATACAAATGCTCAGATTGTCCAACTATGGCAAAATACGAATGTAGCGGCGTCAACATGACCCGGCTTATAGCTGGGTCGGTATCGATGCATTAGTTCAAATACTTGTTATACTGAACTGTTCAGTAAAGTTCGCCGTATATGTTTTTTGGCTGATTTGGGTTTCCTTAGATCTTACCATCCATTATAATATTGCCGGCGTACAATTCAACTTTTATTTATAATCAAATAAAGAACGCTAATAGATTTCAGTGCTTCAAATAAATCTAAAATCGGACATGTTATTTATTTTTCTGATTTTTCTAAGCTGTTCATTTTGTGAACCAATTTTTCACAAAACGCCTTGTTTTTTTTTATCATACAAAATGGGATACCGAGGATAATTATGGTCAATGCTGTATAATTATACAGCGTCGAGAGGCAATAATTTTAAACTATATTACACATTTAATGTTTCGACAAATACTAAGTGATCGGTGGAAACGACGATAAGCAAGTTTTCTTCCCTTTTATGACCCTCGACCTGCTAAAAAACGCCACAGGTAGGCGCCGGAGTACATTCATAATATAATAAATTATCGAATGCATTAACGTCCATATTTACGCAACCTCAATTAAGCAATTATTCTTAATTATTGTCTAAGCAATTATAATCAATATTAAAACTAGTACGCAGGACAAATCCTCCTCTGGGTTGGATTCATATTATACGAAATTACGTTAATTGCTTTAGGCTTACCGTACTATAAAATTTGGGGTTTCGGCCATATTCTGCATATATGTATTATATGGAACTTCTGTTGACCTCTCTATGCTTCGAGTTTCACGCCCGGCATCGCCGTTAGGTATCCCAGCAAGCGGCTAGCTGTCTATGTCCGTATTTGAACCTAGGTCACAATGTGTTCCTAAAATTAGCACACAAGTAGGTCAACCGCTATCACGGTGACAGCTTTTGTTGACCTAAATAAAAGAAACTTCCTTTTAACGCTATAATTTCTTAATGAAAAGGTCGCAGGGGAATTGACCAAGGTTACGTAACAGAGTTCAAGGTACATATGAACCAGCTAGATATTTGTTGATTCAAAAGGTCACCTATTTGTTAGTCAACTGGAACGAAAAGATTGACTGACGGGAAGGTTATGCTTCAGGCTGAGATCCAGTTATAGAATATGACCTGTACTGAAACTAATGCCGCTGGTGAAGGAACACCTCCTTTTTGACCTTCCTTTACGTTTGTATCGAATTCTCTGAAAAAGGTCTGGGATACTGAGAGAATCAACAATCAAAGGCTTTGTGGGCATGTGTTCGCTTTTCAGCAATGCTGATACACCATCGATTGTGGTCGAACGGATGGCGGGTGATATCTGCGCCGTTGCGGCATCAAGCACTTCGTTGTCTCCAGAACAAGGCGAGTCAACAGACAGTTTAGCACCAGTCGATGAGTCTGCTTTTTTTGGTTTGCGGAGATTCTAGGTTCTCTGTTGTGAATTCCGATGGTCGCTGCGTGTAGACCAAAATGAAGGGAAAGAGGCTCTGTATTTTAGTTCGTGAAGCCTGTTTGGGGTGAAAGTTTGAAAATAGGGTGTTGCCCTGGGCTCGAGGGAGCAGTAGTGATAGTATTTAGTTTATTCCTAGTATTTGTACTAACTGGTTCTGTTGCTCCTCTATATTTGAGAGAACGAAAGTGATTCTACTGATTTATAATGCTTTCCAACACAAACTCTTCTATCCCAAATCAATTATATATTAGTAGCAATACAGATATAAGTTCGTTACCATTTTCCTGCCATAAAAATAGTTCAACCAAATATAGCGCACTACTTTAAATTGTAAAATAAGATTGCCTGGGGGATCTTCGAATTGCTTGTCTATACTATTAGTTTTCTGCTAAACACGTAGTTATACTGGGATAAAACGTATCCTAGCGGCACATACACGGAACCCTTACAGTCAGAAGGATGAATTCTCTAACGAAGGTTTTAGGTGATAGACACTCCTATATTTGTACCCCATACTTGTAAGCTTATACGTAAATGCGGACGTTGCCTCTACCAGGAAATCTTAAAAAAGAGCCACGTCTGATGCTGTAACTGTAGTTCGAACCGAAATGCCACATAAAACTCGGATTGTACCAAAGTTTTGTTTTCATATTTAACAACATGGAAGATTGTCTTCGGGGCACAATATGAGTGCACAGTCAATGCCTTCAATCCAGCGTTCCTAGATAAACAACCAAGCAGACGTAGCATGCGGAAGTCGTGACGTCCTTATACATCTATGCATATATTTGTGTGCCATGTAGACAAAGTTACGCAGGTAAGCAGTATAAATACCTGAGTAGTATATACAATAATTAAAGCACACGTTAATTCTTGTTCGATTTAGCTTTTGCTGATTTTATATTTGTAGATATTTTTCCCAATATATAGGCAAATGAGCTTGTTCTATTTTCCAGAATTAACAATCACGAACAATAGCTTCTGCTGGTCAAAGAACCACAGAGATTCTTTCGATCTAGAAACAAAAAACTATTTAATACAACTATACTTAATAACTGGAAATTATCTCCTAGATAAAACCTTTCAAATCATGGTGATTTAAGGCGCCTTGTGAAATCGATTATTGCAACGTTGTATTACACCAAAATAACCCCCGTGGATTTCAAATAGCACGAAAAGCGATGGCCGACACAACAACACCGCATATAACGTATCTCACACTGACGGCAGCTGTACGACAAAGCGCCCTTGACCGTGTAACGAACAAAGAGATTGAGCTTTTCTCCAGTGGCACGATTAAGACAAAACAGCGGGCAACCTTGTCCTCCTTGAGGAATCCAGTTTGATGGACATACCTCCGCACCCTTACGGAGGGATTCTGAAAATTTTATTAGGTCGTAATACTATCACTAACCTTACCTTTTTACCTTTTTTTTTCACAGATTTATGGTAATACATTTCTTACGTAATGCTTCCTTAGCATGCTTGGTTGCGCAAATATTTTCTCTGTTACGTGGATGTGGAGAGGCGAGTCAGCTATGTAGATTTACTGGCGTTAATGGTTCGGTCGACAATCGTACACGCCAGTTAGTGCTTCTAACTAACACAGGTAGTAGGTAAGGGCTTTTTTCTTATATATATA